TCGACCCAACCTGGCAGGGTACACAAGCACCAAATCCCCCACCCACCCTCTTAACTCCTGTCTCTCACGGTAGATTGAATCATAGGTCTGTATGTTGCAATCGTCCTCTCTGAACCGAAGCCCTAAACATCATATTCTCGTGTTAGCCGTACTTCCAGGCCTCTTGTTACATCTTGTCCCGTCATAATGCTTTATGGTATTACCCCCTCCATTGTCGTAACTGTCTCAAACATTTTCTTTCACCTCTACCTCTCTACCTCCCCGTGTCCTCTCTCAGACCCCAATTTCGCTGCACATCACCCTTAATCTCCGCTCGTCTCTCTGTCATGCAAGTTTTCGAACATGAAAGGCAGGTGTGTGCTGTGTCCAGGGCAACAGCAGGCTGTAGTGGGCTTGGGGCCGATCCAGTGTAATCCAGCTAACGCTGGTGTAGGTTGGCCATATCCTGCCCAAGCAGCCGTGCATTTCAGGAATGCTCTTCCCCAGACAGGGTGAACAGCTGCCGCACACCTTTATTCCCTTTTCGGCTTTGGAGAGAAGTTCTCTCCGGGCCTTTGACATTCGGGTGCAAGGCAAAGTCATTATCTATACAATACTATGCAGTCATTTTGAACAGCCAAGTGGTAGAATGGAGTTCTCTACAGGAGTGTTTTATACAACTGTGCATAGCGGAATATAAACTGCATATTACAATGGACATTGATAGATGGGGAGAGCAGATTTTGCACCGGTGCCCTTCAGCCTTAAATTCAAAATCTGCTGATTGGAGCCTTCTTATGCCATAGAATCCCACTTCTTTAAATGTCTTTGAACGTATGTATGTGTGTGTGTGTGTGTGCGCGAAGAGTATGTAGAGGAGAAATTCACAACTTACATTACACTCCATTTTCTTAGAAAAAAATTCCACAAAACTAGCAGCTGTGAATTTAAAATAGCATTCAGTTTACTTTCCCTTGGGGTCAGGTTTACACACACTCACACACACACACACACACACACACACACACACACACACACACACACACACACACAAACACACTTAGAGCCAGCTGTTTCCTTGGGGTATGCAAGGAGAAACAAGAAAATGTAATATATTTGTCCGTCTGCTCAGGAATAACAGAAGAACACTGATCTGAATCTTTCCCTCTTGTCATATCTAGACGATTATGTTCTTTGACAGGATGGCAAAGCACAACAATCATCGCTTGTGGCTTCCTGCTAATGGAGAGGTTTGGCCACTGGAGTGAAGAGTGTGTGAGCAACGCCGGAGGTGTCTTCACTTTCTTGATGAGCTCACAAGTGTGCCTGACAGATGGTGTTTGTTACCAAAAGAGAGTTGTACTTTGGTGGCTGTGTGATTCACACTTCTTCGCAGCGCATCCCTCCGGCTCAATCGTAGGAAGTGTTCAGCCGTGCATTTACTTCTCTTCCTCCTCTGAGATGGTTAACCTGTTTGTGTTCATGACTCCTCACACCTTTGTCAGGCAGATTGCCTCAACAAGCAGCACTAACAATACAGGAGGAGTAGCAGTGCTGAATGCTTTTAAATCTCCCACGTTCCATTCGTAACTCTTTCCTGATCCGAAAGGTTTCACAAAAACCAAAAGCAAACTTTTACTATGTATTCACTTTCAGTAACAGAAAATAAAATAACATCTCTTCTCTTTGATCTGTTTTCTCAGATCCGCACAAAAGGCCAGAAGAGAAAAGACTGCGCCTACTCTGCCAGATACTCAGATAAGGCTGCTGGGCTCACAGAAGCAGACAGACAGACAGAAATAAAGCACTGATCTACCTTTTGATGCACAGACGTTTGGAGTCTCCTCTCTCTTCCTAATGGAGACATGGTGGTCTAAAGTGCCACTGTGGGTCTTTTAGAGATTAATACGTTAATGAGCTAGCTACAAATGAATAGCTCCTTTGGAAGGAGCAGCCTTAAGTGTTCCCGGGCTAATAGAGTTAATAAGCCATAGTCACGCCACAAAATGCACCACAGACGAGGCTCTCATTGCTGAAGGGGGAAGAGAGATGATACGGTTCATTAAAGATTCACTGATTTATTCTTCTGTTCATGGCTGTGGTCAAGGCCGTTCGTACATGACTCGGCCTTGTGTAGTTGGCGCACAGAGTACACTAGCATGTCTCCAGGCAAGAGGAGCAGGATTTGAACCGTGATCAAACAGGCATGAATGATATCATGCAATCCGACAGCTAATTGGAGTATTTGGAAAATAATGGGACTTTTACAACTCTTGTCTGGAGTTTTTTGCCCATTTGTGATCCCTTATTTAGCCGGACAGTGTCAAATATTAACAATGTGCTCATTTTTCATACGGTTGCCTACTTAGGTACTGTGCGTATGTAGAAGCCTTTGCATTGTTAAACATGCTTTCAGTATGCAGGAGGCTACACGCATGCATCCTATCTCCTTAGTAAGACTTGCAGAAGTTCCATCAGATCTGAGTGATGACAGAGACAGAGAGTCTGTTCTCTGCTGATTAGTGCTGTTCATTAGCTCGGTAATGAAGTCTCTCTGAGCACAATAGTGGGTGGTCATGCCCCCTTTTAACATGGACCTTGGGAGCTCCGCCACAGCTAAACAGAAGCAAACAAGTACACAGACGGATGGGAGGTAAAGTATGCCTCTTGGCTCTATAACTCATTTCAGCCTCACTCAGCTAATGAATTCCAATTTACAGTCAAATTTGATGTTTGGATAATCAATAACAGTTTAACCAATATTTGCAAAGTCATAAGAGAATGAGAGACATTTGGATTAGTTTTTTTTAAAGATGACTTCCCCTTCGATATAATGTAAATCCCATTGAGATGCCAGTTAGAGAAAACAAAGGAGTGTGTGAGTACAGCATGTGACTGAAAAATGGAATATAGAATGCTTATTACCATAGTCGTTATCTACCAGAAAGCTTTGGAAATTGCAGCAGCCGAGTTCAAAAAGCCAGGCTTGGCTGGTGTAAATGAATTACATGCCAAGCGTGAACCAGGCAGCACAGGACAAGTGTTGCCCAGTTCTTGGCATCCGTCAGAGAAGTGAATGACTAGTCTAGTCAGTGTTGTCTAATACTAAGGCCAATGCAGTAATTTGTCTTTATAGATCCCAATAAGCCAATCACACCTTTCCAAGAAGCATGAATTTGTTACTTGATGACAAATATTCTTTTGGAGGCTAAAGGACAGTTGTGCAGGCGACGGGGCTCACCAGGATATGGATTTATACTTTGAGCACAGACTAATGGGTTTTGTTCTGTAAATCTCAGACAGTGGTCTTGATTGATTATCCCCCGGTGTTGGGATACTGCTGCTGCTGTCAGAGCTCTAAGAAAGGCTGGTATGTTTTATCCACATCGCAACAAGGAGCAGGGCAGAAAGGACCTGTTCAGAGCTGTGTGGAACAAGGAATGTAATAGCTATTGATTGGTGTATTAGCTACATTGTGGTGTGGATAGCCTTCTCGCTACCCTTTGGTAAAACTAGACCTGTAGTTTTAAGATATGCTGACTGAGTATTATTTGTTCACTGCAGTATGTAATACCTCATAATAGGATTCTAGTTATTGGTTCCAAAACTGTTTAAATCATTTGCATTTTCTATCGCTGTTTCTAATTTACTTTTAGTACTAAATTCCACTGCAAGTAGTCAAGTAAAACTGCTTCGGGCATAATGCATGTTACATAAGTCAAATGTAAATTTCATATTTAGCCTGTTACAAGTGAAATTAATACGTATCACAGGGTTAGAACTTGAAAAAAATGTTAATTTCACTGTCTTTAAAGTGTTGAAAATATGGCCAAAGAAAGGCTGTTAAAAATGTTCATAGATGTACACCAATACCTTTTCAGTCTGGCGATCAATAGGAATTAGTTGATGCTGTGACACAAGTAACTCAAGAAGGATAAATGGTTTGTCGGTATGTGAAAAGGCTGTCGAATGTCTTTTGGATCTTTTTATTTTGGGGCATTTCTACCTTTATTTTGATAACCGAGAGTGGAAATGTGACAGGCAACGAAGAGAAAAACAGCACTAATGACATGCAAAAAAGGTTCTCGACACAAATTCCAAATGGGGTCGTTGTGATTACATGGTCTTAAACACTTAGGCCAATCGTAGTAAATCGGGTTATCATCAAAAGGCACCTTAGTTAGCCCTCTGTGGAAAATGTGCTTGTGTGCATTTGTGTTGGACTGAGTAAACACGGTGCATGTTACGCATGGAGAGCCTGCTGAATCAGTATCTGGCATTTCTGCAGTCTTGCAGAGTAATTGGGGAAGCCAAAGAGGCTTGGTTTACTCCAGGTGGGATCTTATCACCGGGCCACTCTTTATTGTGGCTGCCTGTCTGCTTGCTTGGACATGTAAAAATGTCATAACTCTCATAGTGAGCTGGGCACCTGCTGCTATTGTATGCATGTATGCGTGCATATTTTCTCCTCCATGTTGCTCCCTACTCCCTCAATGCTAGCAAGACAAATGCTTCACAGCCAACAACTTTGTTTAACTGTGTCGGTGTAAAAAAGCAACATGATAATTAGGGATGATTAACAAGAAGCTTCTGCAGGAGATCAGATCATTCATGTGCCACAACCTTTGCTGTAGCCTCAAGGGGACACAGTGGGCGAGGATGGCAGTGTGAAAATGTGTTTCAAAGTATACTTCCTCTGCCATGTAGGAGGTGCATAAAAGAGTGACTTTTGTGGAAAACAATTCAATGCTTACTGAGCTAGAGAAAAGAGATACTGCCTTGTAAGAGGCAGTCGTTGGTGATACATCGCACAAAGTCAGGTGATTGAAGGTAGATCACAATTAAAATAATAACAGAGATACGATAAATCATCACAAAGATTGGTGTTGACATCATGTGGAAAGTGGGCGATAAAAAAAGGGTAGGGTTCTTATGAGCAAAGTAAAGGAATCATCAGTTTTGCCAACAATATGTGAAAATGTGAGTGTTTGTGCATGTGAGCGTGGGCAAGTATTACTTACAGGTCTGGTCTTGACCGTCTCCTGAGGCTTGACATCCATCTTCATCATCACAGTCTGTGGTGCTGCCCTCCTCTATTTCCCCACTGCCCAGCTCATCCCAGGCCTCCATCTGGCCCAGTTTTGGAAACCTCTCCTGGGTCTCCTGAACCGCAAAACACAGTAATAGGAGGTTTATCACACACTGGTTAACATTGAATGTCCATTTGGCTATGTTTACAGCACTGGTCCTCAAGACTTCTTCAGTTATGATATATAACTCCGTAGGTCACACAGACAAACAGAAATGCAAATATGAAATACATTTGCATAGCAAGTTATAGATCAGGTGTTTCCCAGTGGAATGTTATGGCTCTGTATGTATGTGTGTGTCCTGCTCTGACATATCAATCCCTGTAAATGTCAGCAAGGGCCCAACAGATGGTGGTGTGTGGAGCAGTGTACAGTGAGGGCCCTGGGTGGTAAGATGAAGCTTTGCATTTAATTACAAGCCCATTTTAAGAGGAGCATTGATTACAAGGTTGAAAAAGAGTTTTTATTAGTGCTGGGCAATGATTAAAATATTTAATCGCGATTAATCGCATTGTTATGGCAAAGTTCAATAATGAATTCAAAAGTAGTGTATTGCGCACTTTTATTTTAAAAGTACTGCTATATGAACAAAAGGGCAATAACATTTGGTTCACGAGATGCAGGTAGCATGTTTTATACTTAATGTGAATATAATTCCTACTTTGTTGGCATCTTATTCTGAAAACCGGATGTCCGTCTGAAGAAACCGTATGTTGTCTCACGTTAATGTTTCCGCTAACTTTCAAAGTCCTTCGCTCGCTCCCGATCTGGGCCGTTTAAATGCGTTTACTGTGAATTTCAGCATATAGGTGCACTAAAATTACTGACTATAGGATGTTTGCTGGCTTTTATCCCACTGTTCTTGTCATCCTCTTGTTGTTATGTATATGTATTGTCTCTTGTCTTTCAATTAAAAAAAAACAAAAAACAAAAAACAAAAAAAAAATATTATAATAAATTAAAAAAATGCGTTAACGTGCGATAAAATAATTGTCGGCGTTAATTAATGAATGCGTTAACGCGAAATTAACGCGTTAACTTGCCCAGCACTAGTTTTTATACTTTACTTGCCGAAGTTTACGGGAAAACAAATAAATTACACAATACTGCAACACGGGTCACCTTTTCGGTGTGCAGTTTATTTGAATGGCAATTACAATGTATTTTCACTTCACTCTTGCATTTAACTGTAATCAACACATGGACCTATAGAAACCATATCACGACGTACTCTAACACTGTTCTGCATGAAGACTTTCTCTGCCTGCAGCGTGGAGGACCACTCCTTATGATGTTCGCCGCTCTCAGCATGGTGCCAACTAATTGGACCACCTGCCGGTCTTTCCTGCAGTCAAGGTGGTCTTTGTTCCATCGCACCATGTCGGACAAGAAGCTTGCGTGACTCAACAACAAATGATCCTTTTGGAGCATGAGGCTAAGAAAGTGGCGTGAATACCAGATTTGTAGAATATGTGGAACTGTGGAGACAAACACAGTCTGCTCATTTTGTCCATGCTTTAGGTCGGATACGTGCGCACACACAAACATTATTAAACATTCATGAGAAAGCTGACAAGATCAATCCTGGTACACAGCTGACCTTCATGTGGAGGCAGCAACCACTAAAGACATGTTGAGAGGTGGGTGGGAGGAATGGGGGTGGGGTTTTTGGGGTATTGAGGGATGACTAACATCCTTTCCATTGACACGTGACTCTGCCCGTCACTCAACACACCTGACAGCAAAGGTGACATTTAACCAGTTGTCTTCTGAGCCTTCAACACCCCAAAAAGAGATATTTCATGATCACTGTGTGCAAGTTACAATCCTAAAACAAGGCTAACATACTTTCCTTTGAGTTAAATGTGAACATCAGCATGCCAACATGTTCACAATGACAATGCTAACATGCTGATGTTCAGCCGGTATAATGTTTACCTTGTTAAATATCATAGTTTAGCACCTAAACGTTTATTAAATAGCACTAACAGCCGAAGCTGATTGGATTATGCCATTAGTTTTGCCAGTGTTTGGTCATAAACCGAGGCATTGGACGAATTTGAATTTCGACCTGATTTTACCTGCGCAAAATGAAAGGTGAGGGGAGCACCGAAGTCAGGATACATCATCTGGGGACCACAAATATCTGTACCTGTATGTCATGGCAATCCATCCAATATTTGTAATGAAATTTCAAACAAACCCAAAGATATCCTCCACTTGGTGGTATGAGAGGAAAAGTTAGGGGATCACCAAAGGTACAAAGGGTGATCCTCTGAGAACTAAGAGCATGTGTACAAAAGACCATGGTGATTCATTCAGTCGTTGATGAGATACTTCGCTCTAGACCTTTCTTGGAGAGAATATTTGAAAAAATATAAACCCAGACAGTCAAGGCCTTAAACTGACAAGTAGAAATAATGAAGATCCCACACTAAACTTGGCCAGTGTTGACGTATGAATGTTTGATTGTCAGTGGTAATTCTACGGCAGTTCAACTGGTGTCAAAGTCATCAGAAAAGCAGTCATGAATATATTTGTATTCTTTCTGTCATCCTTACCAGAGCAGTGATAACTGTTATCTGCAAGCGAGAGGAGACGAGACGGATCCTGACACAAGCGGGTACTTTTGTAACTCATTACTACATCAGTCGCGCATTCCGGTTTTAGTTAATGTGAAAGCGCCCCCCTCTCTCACACTCAGGCCTGAGTGAGTGAAATAAGTGCTACTGTGAAATGAGTCTTGTACAACCATAACAGAAGGCCGGGCTTAATGAAACTGGAGAGGGCCCTTTAGTGGAAGCAGCTAAAACATATTACTTATGCTCACCGCAACAAAAAAGGAAAAAAAAGCCATTGACAATAGCTGGAGAGCTCAGTTTTCATAGATGGACAGTTAGGTACAAGAGGACTACTTAGAAGGAATGAGAACAATATTACATGCTGGTTACAGTAGTGCATTTTATAGTAATGGATTGGCTCACATTACAACCTGTTGACAGGCTCTTTGTGTGTCTGCACTTGCTCTGCCTGTTTTCAAGCTGCAATGTGATCTGTGTTAGAAGAAGGATACAACTTTGGTTTGGGGACACATTAGGAGATACACTAAAAATCCTCGCTTTGTGAATTATATGAAGTACAACGAGTAATGTGCAAAAAAAAAGTTATCTAAAATGTAAGTATCCATTCACTGCATCAATCCAAATATTTTAGCAGAAGCCTGCAAGGGAAAGATAGGTAATAATGGAGGATAGACAGCAAGAGAGAAAACATCTTCCTTGGTTCTGAACAGCAACCATGATAAACCCATTGACCTTTTTTATTATGTAAAGCAACTAAATATATGCAATGAGTTTAGGAGGAAATGCTCTGCTGAACAGCACAATGTGTGTACTAACACCATCCAGATAACCGTTTGGGTATTGAGCTAATAACCGTGCTGTTCAGGGGACGTTTAACACAATGCTGCTTGGCCCAGCTGTCCTTAAAGCATGTTAATTAGAGAAGGAATCAATTAAGGCGTCGTCGATGTGGAAACCACACTCGGGCCGTTGTAGAATTGTTGGATGGCTGCTGTCCAATGCAGCTTGTTTTGACTATGTCAGGACTGCAAAACTGCCAGAGCTTTTTTTGTTATTTCTCTCTGTTCAAAATTTCAACTCTACTGTGGTCTTTTCAGAAGTAACACACAGGAAACTTAACTGTGGTATTCCCACAGCATAGTGAAGAAGCAAATGTCTAATTTGTCTATGAGCTAAAGGAAGAGAGATAGGCTACATATATATTATTATATTCCAATATGAGTTCTTAAACAGTGTTGAATGCATAATGTGCAGTGAATATTCTCTCTCCCACCTGCTTTTTGATTGACTGTTGCTGCACTGAGGACTAACTCTGGGTTTCAATGACTGTGTTTCTCTATTTGACTCCCCCCGCAGGCTCTCTCCCCAAAGACTTATAACTCCTGCCTCGAACAGAACCCG